GGTAGGGGTTATATCAGGCAGGGTAGCTGGAGAGCCGCCGACGCTGCCATGAAATGGATGCTGCACTTCTATGAGTATCATGGGCGCCGGTGAATCAGCTGGAACAGGCAGTTTGGGACCCGGCGTATAACACACAGTATCGGCGTATAACACGCAGGCAGGGTTTAAGCTTGCAATTTTAGTTTTAAAACTGCGTGTTATACGCCGATAAATACGGTACATACAAAAATTCTCTAGATTCACATAACATTCCTCTAAAGCAACATACACCCAAAACTATTCTACCTAGTTGCAAATCCTAAGGAAGAAAATGCAAGCAGGATGATAAGGCAGATTAAAAAGAGATAGCAGTGGCAAGAAAGCAAATATCAGTAGATTCAGATATTTGATGATGAAAGACGTCTATTTGGAAGTTTGGACAGCCATCTAGCAGATTCGTTATTGTATCCTACATTGCAGAATCTGCACTAAGTGGAAAATGGAAGACTGGAACCAGTGAATCTCAAGATTATTTCCAATTCTACAATTCAACTATTCATATGCAAGAATTTGCATGGCTGCAAATGCTGTTTTGTTAAAGCAAGAAAAAAGTGAACATAAGCAATGGGATCCTTGCAGCTGGAAGCTAGGAAGAAAGCTACCAAAACTTGCCTTTGCAGACTAACTCTGGGCTGGCACGACTTCTTCTCTTGTTCTGCTCCATTTCTATATCTCCCTTAATGTACAGATTATGAACCTGAAAACAAAGGCACCTATTATTTGCTATCATCAACATGGCTTAGACCCTGAACAGAACTCCAGCTAATCTCTATACTTCCCAAATCCACTCAACTCCTAAAATCTTCATCTTCCCTGTTCAGAAAATGCACCAAAACCCATTATCCAACTGACCAAACCTTACAGTAAATGTCAGAACAGCCTGCAAAAACATCTTGCAAGGAAGATTATTGCTGAGGTTCTGCCATCATAGATAATATCACTTTATACGTTCTATTATGTTTCTGACTGCAACCAGTGCCAAAGTGATCAAAACTGCTGCTTGTGTCAGGTTGCAAAGGTGAAGGTGGGCTTTACAAAGCGAATGATTATGAAGACAAAACAACTACACCTTCTCCTCCATCCCTGCTTGTGGCAAAAGTACCTGAGAGGTCTTGATTGCCTGAAGGTTGATGTTTGGGTATCGTGTGGTAGGATCAATGCTGTACTGATTAACATTCTTGTTCATGTTGTCAGGTGAAGTCTGTGACAGCCGCTTATATATACTTTCTCTGGGTGGAGATTGAGCAGAAAAATATTCCAGTTGAGTTAATGAATGAAGAGTCATATTTTATACTTGGAAATCAGAATCAGCCTGGAGGCAACTCAGGCATAACTATACAAACAATATTCCTTGACCTTTGCTTCTTTTCACAAGAGTCATTCCTAACTCATTTTGCATTCTGAATATCAATACATTACCCTATGTTTTGGAGAAAATTCATTTGTAATCTTGTAATCTTAAACTTTCCCTATGTAATTTTAAATGTCCTACATTAACCTTGCCTGCCCTTCAGTCTATCCCACAGGCCCCTAAGACCCATGATTTCCTTCACAGGGCTGCAAGTTTTCAAATGGTTATGCCTGGAGAGAGAAACAAGAAGCTACTATTTAACGATTTTGATTCTTTTCATCCAATTTTCTACTGGGAATGTTCACTGTCTCCAAGCAGCTATTTTCCTTTCACGGGTTAAAAAAATAGAGCTTTCCCCCTCAAACTAGGCCAAAAAACAGTTGACTCGGGATTGTATCAAACAAGTAAAAGTTGATAAGCAGGATTTTCTTTTTTTTTAAATCTTCCTTCCTTTTTATTTCTGCCGGCTAAAATTTACAGCATTCAAATATGCTCTTTAAAAAAAACATTTTGGAAAATGGTTTAGCTACAGAAGTTAATATCCCTTACCCAATTTCACAGAATAACTATGACCTCTAATGAGACTACAAAAGAACTCCACAGTTAAATATCCTTTTATGGGAGTTGAAGTCCATGCATCTTAAAGTTGCCAAGAATGAGAAACATACTCTCGCTCCCTCCTTTCTCTCTCCCCCCCTCTCTCTTCCTCTCTCCCTCCTTCCCCCCTTCTCGAATCCTAACTCTGGAAATACTGTACCCCTTCTCAATATGCTCACCTCTCAGCCAACACATCCAGTGGGGATACTTCTGAGGCCCATCTTTTTACCATCCAAGCAGCATCAAAAGTTGCCAAGAAACCTCTGCCCACACCAGTGCCCAAGGGCCAGAATGGCTGGAGAACAAACAAACAAACAAACAAACAAAAGTTCAAGCAGTCTGGCTACTCAGCAACACGGGATACCTCACAATAACTCAAAAGACATTGAAACTAGACAAATGCTGGAGGAACCGGATATGGGTGTGAATCTTGATCCTGTAATTAGTGTACAACTGTCTCACTGTGCAGTGTTTGAGTTTTGGAACTGCTTGCTTTCCATGGGACCCCTTCCCATTGAGTTTGTTAGGTGGCAGGTTGAGCTCGGGGGGGGGGGGTCAAACCTACCTAGTAAAGGCAAACAAACGAATATACAAAATTAAAAATCATCTGCATTCTGTCTAAGAAAAGGAGACACTCTGGCCTCAAGAGTCCAAAAGCAAAACTATATTTATATACAAACCACCAAATGATATGGCTCGTGTTAAGCACTAGTGAAGAAATGTCTGAGAAAAGTGCACAGCGCGCGGGGGGTGGGGGTGGGGGTGGATCCCTGCATTCTGTTTGGTTTGGATTTTCATAATCCTTTCAAAAAACCACCATTCTGCTTGCTAGAAGCTTTTTATAATACTTCCCATTATAACACAGCTGACATTCAGATTTTTTCCAAGCAGCTCAGCTTTATTTACATGTTTCCATATGATGACCTTTGAATAATTTTTGGTAATAATAGAAATGGGAGAACAACCATTGATAAAAAGTAAAATGCTTTCCCTGGATATCGTTGCATTAAAAAGTATGAAAATTTTCCTTTACATAAAACAATGGGGACAGCAAACTTGTAATGGAAAACTGGCTGTAGCCTTGGTCTCTCAATTAACCTAGAAAATTCTTAACAGATGAGCATTCAGTAATGCAAACGTCCTCTGCCTATATATTCTGAAATAACACACATTGATTGTCCCTAACCAGCTGCTTTCCAGATGTGTTGGATTTCAATTCTCAAACTAGAGCTGAAGTTGTGAACTAATACAAGGTTGGGAAAGACTCTCTCCAACTGAATGGGAGTTCCAGTCAAATAGGTTTGAAATACACATTTCTCCCATTGAGGAGAGGCCCTTCCAGATGTTAGTTCTGATCATACTAAGGCCACACTTACCTCCACCAAGCAGTCGCCCACCAACCCGATGAGCAGCTTAGCACCATTGCAGTCACGCACCAACGCTGCATTTTCTGCACGGCTCATGCAGGTGAAGTCAAACATGTCAACATCAGGACGGTGGCGATGGTTTAGGGCAAATTGCAAAGTGGGCAACTTGTAGTTGGTGGAGAAGTTGGCAGCTTCTTTGGCATAAGCGAGAAGGGCTTCCTGGTTCACATTTTCTGGAGAGAGTAAGCTCTCTATGTCAAGCTTATCCTAGAAATATAAAGATAATGTTTTAAAATAATATAGAACTGGCTGAAGAATTCTGGGAGTTGAAGTCCACAAGTCTTAAAGTTGCCAAGTTTGGTGACCCCTGATATAGAATAATAATTAAAGAGCCATGAGTTCTATTGCTTTAATTCATAAAGCAGCTATAAGACAATGGGTCTACTGTGTATGGAGCCTACTTGCTGGAGAGGCTCAGATGAGCAATCTACACTCTCTGGAGTGAGATGTGGCTCTTAGTCTCATACTTTACAATCTGATTACGCCACTACCTCTCTCTGCTGCAGTCATAGAAAAACTTGGGCTATTTTAAAAATGGCAACATGTAAGAAAAATTGGTTGAACCAAAACTGGGAAATGCAGGAGGCATAAAGTTTAGAACTCCCAAGATTTCAAGTTTCAGCATGAATTTAATACAATTAATACATTAAATATTTATTTTGTGTCCCCATCAAATTTATACATTTTAATTTAAGTTTAATCTCAACTGATAGTCAAAAGCATTTGTTAAGGCAATTTATTAAAGGCAATTTAAGGAACCAACTTATACCAAGAGTGAAGTTTTAATTACATTGCACTGTGAATGTGGCTATACCTGGACATAGCTAAAGATTTCTTGAATAATTCATCAGCAGATTGGGAATTAGCATGAAACTAGCATGGAGAATCCTTTGTTATACATCTACGTGTCACTTTTATATCTCAAGGACTGTAAATCTTACTTATGTTGAATTTAGATTTCAGATTTATGAGGACATTTTTCTTCTGCATTAAGTGAAACATATATAACATACCTCTTAGCTAAAAGCTCATATCCTAAATGCTTTCAAAAGTCATCAAGTTCAATTTAAGGCACAATTTACAGTTGGATCCACCACTCCCAATGATTAAAAATAAGTTTCAAAAGGACAAAGATACTATAGGACTTTGGCAATTTTTAAAAAAGTATTTATTAAAATATTAATTCAATCATGGCATTTACACCATCACTCAAAATGATGCAATGGGCCCCTGAAAAGGTTTCCAAGCCCTGTCATACATACATTTAAGATTACTCCTTTCTTTAGCAAGCTATGCTTCTTGGCTGTCATGACGAAGTAGTGAGTGTCATCTTTATAGTAGACAATGTTTTCCAAATCAATACCTGATATCGTTCAAACACAAGGAGAAAGTTATAGATAGACAAGTTTAAAGGAAGATACATCACATTAATAAAGAGAAGGCTGCCACTGGGCAACAGCCCAGAAGCTCTGAATTGCCTCTAGGATCAGGATTAGTCTATAGCTCAGTATAATTGCTGGTAAACAATAATGAGTGGCTATTACCCTTATAACCTGATTGCAGGATTCCTATTGCAGGAAACAGGTTGCTTAACAAGATAAGGAAATCCCTGTGGAATCATATGTATTTATGTCTTTCTTTTGTAACTGCATTAAAAACACAGGTAGTCCTCGACCTACAACAATTCATTTAGTGAATGTTTGAAGTTACAGCAGCACTGAAAAAAGTGACTTATGACCATTTTTCATGCTTATGATTCTTGCGGCTACCCATGGTCATGTGATCAAAATTCAACTGCTTGGCAAGTGACTTGTATTCATGTCAGATGCACTGTTCTGGGGTTATGTGATCATCCTTTGCGACCTTCCGACAAGCAAGGTTAATGGGAAATCCAGACTCATTTAATAACCATGTTACTAACTTAACAATTGCAGTGATTCAGTTACAACCATAGCAAGAAAGGTCGTAGAATGAGATAAAACTCATTTAACAACTGTCTTGCTTAACAACAGAAATGTTGGGCTCAGTTGTAGTCATAAATCGAGGACTACCTGTATTCCGATGTAATTATAGGATTAAAAAAAACCAACCTGACTTATTTTCCCAAACAACATAGGTACATATATTATTGTATATTTTATTTTACATCATTGAAATTCATGAAAAAATGGAGGGGTCCTAAATACTGTTCCTGAACTGCTGACTCTGTTTCTGCTCGTTAAAAACAATGGAATGCCACAGATTTCAACGCACGATGAAAAACCATGCAGGCTAAAAGTTAAATGTAAACCCTCACCTGTTTTGTTACAGAGATTTTGGAAGAACTTCTGGTGGTATATGCGAGCCACGCCACTTATCTCAGCCACCTCCACCTCAGGTCTGCTATGGTTATTTATAAAATTGGTGGTAATGCCAATAGCCAATTTGCCTCGTGTCTCCTTCCTCTTAAAGCCTGTGAGAAAAACATGAAAGAGAGCCTTCCATCAACTGTGAAAGAAGAGTCAACCATACAGGAAATGGTCAGGGTAAGAATCAAAAAGAGCAACATAAACCGTATAGAGCAAACCATGCTCGATATGTATCCAAATTCATCCAAAATATAATAAATTCAGGTTTCTTTGTTACCGTATTTCAGTAGTGAAAGGACCCCAAGCAAACAGTACAATGTTTTGGGTGACCCTGTACCTCCAGAATAATCTCTCTTAATTCATTTTGGTTTTAAAACGGTCCCTAAAAATATTACCCAGGTCACCATTTAATTAACTACATGCAGCTCCATTTTAGCAAACATTTCCTGTATTTATGTTAACAGGTAGTCCCTGACTTGTGACCACAACAGGGATCAGAACTTGTGCTAAGCAATGTGGTTGTTAAGTAAGTCCTGGCTGATTTCTTTGATATTCTTTGCTGCAAATCATTAAGCGAATCCAGCTTCCCCATTGACGACTTACTGGAAGCCCCCTGGGGAGATTGCCAATAATGATCAGGAGACCCAGGACACTCTAACTGTCATAAACACATGCTGGTTGTCAACTGTTTGAATTACTAACTCATATCTACAAGTATCTACAAAGAATATTCCTTTTTATTTCATTTTTAATTTACTCTCTAGCTCAGTGTTTCTCAACCTTGGCCACTTAAAGATGTCTGGACTTCAACTCCCAGAATTTCCCAGACATCTTCAAGTGGCCAAGGTTGAGAAACACTACTCTAGCTGAAGGCAAAATGCCTTTTTGGAATCTTTTGAAATGATATCTAGCACAGATACTAGAGAGGGAAAAAAAACCAACCAACCAAAGCTGGACACCCACTTTTATCGTCACACTTAAAATTCCACAGAATCTGATGGCGTCATTGAGCAAAATTGAGAAGAGATGCTAAAAAAAGAAGCTGAAGTTTCTCTCTAAAACCATGTGCTGCCTAATGTTTTACTCCTTGAGCACTGTTTGTTTACAATACTCCACATGAACATATATCTAATTTAAAAAAGTAATACTCTTAAATAGGCAATTTCAACTTACTGTCACCATTTCATAAACTTTTATATCCCAATTCTAAGTTTAATACAAATACTGGAGTTTCTTTTGTCATCTGAAAGGCTGGAAAAATCTTTCTCTGAACAATATTTACAACGACAAAAAATGAGGCTTGGGGAAATCTCCACAATCACGGGCATCTGAAACTTTTTTACCCCGAATTCTCCTGTCTAATCTCAGTTAAATTATGGTACATCATTCACCTTCAGTTTTTGGTACCAATAAGCATTCAACTTTGAACCTCTTTTTTACAAGCTAGAGTTGCAAGTTCTCGACTTGCATTTCTACATGCTTTCGAACTGCTAGGTTGGCAGAAGAGACAAGTACCAGGAGTTCACTCCATTACGTAGCACTAGGGATTTGAAACACCGAACTGCCAACTTTTCTGATCGACAAGCTCAGCGTCTTAGCCACTGAGCCACCATGGCACCGCATTAATATCTGTAAGAATAACCACATAAATATCTGTAAGAAGTCTCTAAATCTGGAGCTGTTTCAATAATGTTCCCCCAATTCTGTCCATCTGAAAAGAGGATGAAAAGAGTCACAGGCCATATGTGCTTACCTTACCTTCTGGCACAAACCTTCCACCACCAGCAGAGATGAGGACATCAAACTCATACTGGCTCAAGGGAGATGAGCCAGGCTGCAGGTCAGCTCTCCATTCACTGACTGCAATATAAAGATGAAGTCAAGACTCTGGAACATGATGGCAGCAAATTAACTCCTTTTCATAGGCATGTGTGTTTATAAAGGAATCAGAGGCACATTTTACTGGCTCAAAGACCTGTGGCTGGCTGAAAAGTAAGTAACAGTCCAACCTGCCTTGGCCCTTGCTAAGAATTAATGTCCCAATTCAAAATTAATTCACACATTTGCTTAGAGAGATGTGATTTTGCTTGCAGAGGGACCTTTAGCTATAGTTTAAAATATCGGGGAGGGGGGGGGGATATCATGAAACTAGAACGGTTTTACAGGTTAACACTTTAGAGCCATGAGTAATCAAAAGAATCGGAAATTATAGGGGTGAAGCAACCAATGATGATTTCTTTCTGATTTTATTTATATGGAAAGTCTGAACATCCCTAAACCAAACAGAATATCACCATGGAAGTTTTCCACTATGAATGACCATCCAAAGTATACATTTGTAAACCTGAGTTCTTTTTGTCCTTTCACAGTACTATCAGTGTCAGAGAAATGTTAGAATTATATCTGGGCCCAAATGCAATGGGACACTTTTTAGCCCCGAGTGTTCCAATTGCATTGCTTCTTTGCATGTTATCTTAATACAGCAGAAAAGCAATTCAGTTTTAACAAGACAGCAGGAAAATCTATTATTTATGAAGAAAAGCCAATTCTCAGCACAAATAATAGAGTTTAATACATCTCAGCAGTTTTTCTCTTCTTCACCATAATTCATAGGTAGAATAATACTTTCCACAATGCTCTCCTGAAAAGTTATGCTTTCACAGTTCTTCAGAAATATAACAAGGAGCAAGTAGTTGAAATGTCTGAGGATATTGCTGCATAAGTGATAGAGAATAAGGTTAGGTAAGATACCCTGCCTTCAAATACTCAGAAGAACTGAGTATTATTTATATCTTACCCTGTCCATGAGAGTTCACTACTGGTTGAATGAGTCCCTTAAATTGTACACCGATGTGAATGTGAACACCTAACAACAAGGCTACTTTCAGCAGGATCAACTGCAGCTGACGGATACCTACAGATACAATAGGAGCATACAAAAGAAAAGAGGATGTTTTGTATATGTATGTATGTATGTATACACACACACACATATATGCATATGCATATACATACACACACATGCACACATACATATATACATATATACATATTGTTGTATTTGTTCTATCTTTTCCCACATTACAGACGTCTCCAAAAAGCTAGATTTTCACAAAATGTGTTCAAAATATAATTTGAGTCTGGTCATTTGACTACCAATGTGCATTTGGGATTTGATTATAGTTTGTTTGATTATCCATTTGTTTCTTAAAGTATCCTCAGGAACCTTCGCCAATCCCAAAGTTTGAAAGTTTCAACGGTCTTTCTATCCTGCTTCTTTAAAATTCAACTTTTGTTTTTACTGTGTGTCACGGGGAAAACAACAACCTGCAAGATTCTGATCTTTGAAGATATAGATATGCCATTGCATCATAATATGGTTTCCAAGGCCTTCATTGCTATGTATCATTAGTCTACATGTATTTCTTGACTGCAGTTTCATTTTCTGTTGAGAGCTGATGCTACAACATGCAGAAATATCCATCATTTCAACATCTGTATTGGGTATTCTAAGGTGGGTAGCTGTACCTGCTAGCGCTAATTTTATCTTTTTTATCTTTATTCTTAATTTTCCACTTTGTGCTTGACTTTCTTTATTAAAACTTTCAGTTCATTTGCATGTTCAGTTGTCAGACTGGTATTATCAACATAACATAGCTAAACTTTTGTGTACCTTTTCCTGCCCCTATTGAAATCTATCCTATCCCCAAGACCTCTGCAAATCCTTTCTGCTGATATTGCTTGCTCTTGCTTAAGAGCGATCCTGGGATATTACAGGCACTCCTCTGTCCTTGACAATTCTTCCTAACATACTTACTGATGTGATCCAAGGTGCCAGTGCAGAAACGGCCATAGAATTTCTTGGCTCCAAGTGCCCTCAGGTCCTGGATAGTGAAAGGCCAAAGGTGCAGCACATTGTTTCGGGAAAAGATCTCTCTCTTCTCTACCACCACAACGTGGGCTCCAAGGAAAGCCAATTCAATAGCCGCGCGGAGACCACAGGGCCCTGCCCCGATGATCAGGCACTGAAAAACATTGTCACAATGAACCACCATACATAAAGAATTTGACAAGACAATGCATACTCAATGGCACTAAAGCTAGACAGGAACTTTACACAAGACTGAGTGCTATTACATCAAAATAGGAGCCCCAATGTGGTCTGTGGGATAGAAAGAGACATTACAGAATACTCTCTCTCTCAGTTCCCCATTTTTCCTTTGCTAGAGACAAAGGAATGTTAGCGAATGTGTTATAGTGGAATAATAAATTACCATTTACAACAATTGCAGGAAATCTGCTGACAGTTAAAGGAACCTTATTCAGTCAGACATCTTTTTCTACTCAAAAGAGAAAGAAAATCCTATTTTAATCTTAGTGAATGTTGGAATATAGCAACATTAGAAATAATTGAAATGTAATATTTTTAATGTGCAAGCATTGAAAAAAGCTTAGTTGCTTGAAAAATTGGACCACCATTTTTTTAAAAAGTTAAATGATATTTCCAGCCACCAGGCAACCAAACATCCAAGCCCTGTTATGTCTCCTGGCAAGTCACTGCAGATCAGGATGCAGTGCTAAAAACTGCACCCAAGGCCAGAACATATATTTAAGGCTTATCTTGACCATCAGATACACAAGTCTGCTGATCCGTGTTCAAAGAACCCATGGTGCAATTGAAGGGAATAAACCAGGGGTGGGTTCCTGCCAGTTCTAACCTCTTCTATAGAAGAGGTTCCACAAATCTACTGTGTCATTTAGAACCGGTTCCAGCTCCCTCCCCCCGCTCATCCACATCACGCTTGCCCCACCCGCCACTCACTGATTGGCTGGCTCATCAATCGCCCCACTCACCTCTTAGAGTCCTATCTAAACCTTAAAGTCTTAAAGCTGTCAAGTTTGAACACCCCTGGGG